GAATAATAACTACGCGTTTAATATAATTATATATATATTCTTCTAAGATTTTTTATTAACTAGCGATCTTTAAATAGTTATTATTATTTCTCTTATAATTTAAATTAAGTTTAAATGAGATTATAAATAGCTAATTTTAGATAGATATTTATTAGTATATATAAAAAGAATAAGATAGAATTAAGCTTAAAAATCTTAAATTTATATATTATGAGATAGTAAGGCCTCTTTCAATGGAACTGCGTAGCAGCTATGTAATCACGAGGTCTAGATGCGTAGTTGATAGAATAGATAGATCAGTTGCTAGATGAACTAATAACTAAAGAAAGAAGAAGGGGAAAGGGGACTCGCAAGTATTTAAGACTTTGCCAAGCATGTTGGATACTCGCCCTAGCTGCGTAGCTTGCAGCCTGGCAAGCGACGCAAGCGAGCCTATCAGTTCGCTCCGAGTACTTCCACCCTTACAACTGCATCCCCCCTCAGGAGGTTCAGCCCCTGAACCTCATCATCATTGCGCCTTGCAATTGAATGCGTGCGGACTTGCCAGTACCACCTGCGCTGCCCATTGCCAGCTTGGACGTAGCCTGAACTGACGTGTGCTGCAATGGCGCATCCGTACTGTGTGCCCTGAGGTCTTCTTGAGCATGTTGTCATGTTTACATGCTGAATCGCGACAGCATCGCTGTGCGCATTGTTGTTTTGGTCAATAGGACATGGGCGTAGTGCTACCCCATTGCGGTGTGCTATTGTCGCCATTGCCATGCGCTATTGTTGTGTTGTCACTTTGTGATCGTGGTGATCCTATTGTGGTGATCGTTGAAAGTCGCGCTAGTGAGTACAAAAAGACTCACTTCCAGTCTGACTTTTGTTCTTCTTAGCAACAACACCAACGCCGACGCCATCACAAGTAAGTGCCAAGTCTTTCTTCATGTCTGCTACCTTGCCTTCGTCCGTCCTTATCGCAGTATCGCGATAGCGAGCTACGCATTATCGCAACAGCATAGCATATGCATCGGTTGAGGTGATAGTCGAGTGAGGTTGAAGTCGCTCAGATCAACTTCACACACAACAAGCACCTTAAAGGATACTTTACGATGCTTTTTAGACAGCATAAGAAGCATACTGACATGTTGACAGTGGCACCCAACCTTCGTTCGCGTGGCCCTGCGGGTCACCAAGTGCTCGTGGCCGTCGTGGTCCCTACGCCTCGCGCTGTTGCTGGTAGGCATTCACATCCGTTTTGAAGACGTGCTTGGCTAAGAAGGCTGTCAGCCCCCTCGTCGCTGCTCCCGTCGCTGCTCCCGTCGCTACTCCCGTTGCTGCTCCCTTCGTCCGTGCTCGGACATCGACCGTGAGTGGAAGAGATGCCAGACAACTGAGAGGTTGCGCTAACGTGTGCTAGTCCCCTTTTGCTGCCGTTGTGTGCGTGCGCTCGCACGTGATCCTCGTGCGGTCTACACCGCTCCGCCTGCTGGCTCGCGCCAGCGTAAGTGCGGGCGGTGCTCCGCGGGGGTCATGTGTGCGTGGTAGACTCGGTCCCCGTCTACCAGGGTGATGTCTTGTGTGCGGCCCGCACTGGCGGGGATGTTCGTGCTGCCCTTCGCCGCTGGACTGGTATGAATCCTATTGGCATATGCTAGGGTGCGTAGCTAACATGCGTAGCGGCTCACCGCGCCGAGGAACTTCGGCGCAACGCCGCCGTCTTCGCCCCTCCTCTGGCTGCTCCTCTTGCTGCCCCCTGTGCTGGGTCTTCCCGCCGTCTGGTAGGTCTTCTGGGTAAGCAGTTACTTCCCAGCATGAGATAACAGGTAGGCTAATGCTAAGCAGTGGTGGTCTTATATGCGGCCCTCGTGGTCACTTTTCTTGTGGTGCGTGGCGCTTCGGCGCTTTAGGATATGCCTGCGGGCTTCTTAGCTGTTTTCACTGGGCCTTTTGGCCACAATTCATTCGCCCGCCCGGGCCCCTCTGCTACTACTGCTTCCGTGGTCTACCTCGCTTCTTGATCCCCCTTGACGATTGCGCCTTTGGCTTTGTCTTGGGTGCTGGTTTGTGTGACTCCTTTGCTTGCTCGAAGTCCTTGATTGCGCCTTTAGCATTTTCGAGGTACTCCATTGGTTCCCACGAAGCTTCGTAAGGTGGGGAGTCTTTCCAGTTAATAAGATACTCAATCTCGCCCTTGCGAACTCTTTTTGTCTAGCACCTTGTTGACCTCCCACTCTTCTTCTTCATCAATCAAGACTGCTTGCGGCTCCGGATCATTGCCACGCGAGTGCCACGGCTCTAGTAGCGATACATGAAACACAGGATGGATTCTTCCATACCTAGCAGGGAGGTCTAGCTTGTAAGCCTGCGTGCCTATTTTCTCCAGCACTTCAAAAGGCCCAAGCTGCCTGTGATCAAGTTTCTTCTTTGGTCGCAAGGTGCGTATATTCAAGCTTCGCAATAGTACTTTATCTCCTTCCTTGAAGGTTATAGCCCTGTGGTTACTATTGTAGTACTTTGCTTGCTGCTTCGACGCTCGCTCCCACAATCCTTTCAGGTGCGATCTTGTCTCTCGCAACTATTCTGCTCGCTCTGTAGCAAGCGGTGCTTCCCCCTTAAGATCCTGCCCTCAGGAGCATTTCCTAAGTCTGCTGTGTATCCCATCAGCAGATCTTGCGGGGTCTTGCTGGTGCTTGCGTGTACGCTATTGTTGTATGCGAACGCAGCCATCGGCAAGATTTCAGGCCAGTTGTCCTGCTTGTAGTTGCAGTACACCCGCAGGTAGTGTTCCAGTACCTGGTTTTGCCTCTCAGTCTGACCATCGGTCTGAGGATGGAACGCAGTGCTTAGCCTGCGCTTCGCACCCAGGTGCCAATATAGCGTTGTCCAGAACTTGCTTGTGAACAGGGAGCCTCGATCCGAAATCAAGTTGCGCATCATGCCGCGCAGTGATACAAACTCCCGCCACAAGATGTCAGCAAGGCCATCAGCCTTCAGATCCTTGGTGGTCGCTACGTACGTTGCATGCTTGGTTAGCTTGTCTACCAAGACCAAGACAGCATCGCAAGTCTTGCCAGTGTACGGATCCCTTGCAGGTGGTAGGTCCGTGATGAAATCCAGTGTCACAGTGTGAAATGGATCCACGCCACCTGGGGGGGATCGACGCCAGCTCGCCATACGGCTTGTGATGATGAACTCGCACCCTTTGGCAATCGGGGCAAGTGCGAACATATTCTGCTATGTCGCTTATCATACCTGTCCAGTAGTACTTGGACCTGATACCCTCCTCAGTGCGCTTACGGGCAAAGTGCCCAGCATTAGGGTCATCATGATTTATACGAAGGATCTCTTCCTTCGTAGCAGGATCGTTAGGAATATAGACTGCGAGGCCACGACGTAGCAGTTCATCCCTCACCGACTCCCCATTTCGAAAGCTCATCCTGTTTAGCAGCGTACCTTTGGCGCCACTCCTCATTCGCAACGAAAGCGTCCTTGCGTTACAATTTGAGTAGCCATACTACCATTGGTTCTCGCAGCTCCAAATAGGACCTCTCCGACTCCAAAACCTGGTGAACCAGAAGTCGGGACGACATCGCAGCATCTAGAATACGTATCCGTCTATCGAGTACTCTCTTATCCAAGTTAGTGACTTAGGTATCTGCGACGGTAATACCGTCCAGTTACTCCGTCAACGCTACAAGTTTGACTGTAGCAGGTACGCCATTACGTTCTTACAGATCAGGTTGGTATTCCTGATTGCGAAGCTTGTTTCGCAAGGTAGAGAGGAAATCATCATTGTTATTCTCGCTACCATCCGGTTTAACAATATTAGACCTTCTTGACGGTGCATCCGCAGGGTTGAGTTTTCTCTTGCGATATTCGATTGTAAAGTTAAACGCAGCTAATTTCTCAGCCCAGCGAATCTACTTCGCATTAAGCTCTTTTATCGTCATGAAATAACGCAAGTTATTATGATCTGAGATCACACGAATAGGGTGCTTGCTACCTTGCAAGTAATACCTCCAATTCTTGAAGCCTAGCACAATCGCATAGAGCTCCTTGTCATGTGTGTCCCAGCGAGACTCAGCGCCTTTGAATTTGTAGCTGGAAAACGTAATGGGGTGCCATTACCCATCCCCGCTCAGTTGGCTGAGCACACCACCTGCACCTACGTTGGAAGTATCGGTCTCCATGATAAGCGGTGCTTCCCAATTGTAGTGTTCCAGCATAGGTGCGGTGGTGAACACCCGCTTGAGTGTTTTGAAAGCCTTACGTGCTTCCCCATTGAACACGAAGGGTGGTCTGGTCTCGCCTTTCTTCGCTCCTCGGGTCAGGTCCGTCAAAGGCGCAGCTATCTACGAAAAGCCTCGCACGAACCGCCGATAGAAGCCTGCGAACCCCAGAAAGACCAGGATGTCCTTAGCAGACTCGGGTTCTGGCCACTCAGTGATGGCCTCAATGCGCGATGGCTCCATTTGGATGTCACGCTGGTTTACCAAGAACCCCAAAAAGGTAACCTCATTGCGATTGAAAGCATATTTCGATAGCTTCGCATAGAGGCGATGCTCCAACAGTGCGCGCAGCACTTTGCGCATATGCCCCCAATGCAACTCTTCCGTTTCCGAATAGATTAGTATATCGTCCAAGTACACCACGCAGAAGACATCGATGTATGGCTTGAGTGCTTTATACACATAAGCTTGGAAGGTTACGGGGGCATTTGCGAGGCTAAAAGGTATCACTTGGTACTCGAACTGGCCGTAGCGAGTTCGGAAGGCGGTTTTCCACTCGTCTCCCTTTCGCACTCGTATTCTGTGATACATATTGCGAATATTAACCTTGGTAAAGTGCTTCGCATATGCGAACCTTTCCAATGTCTCTGAGAGTAGCGGCAACAGGTAATTGTTCTTGATGGTTACCTCGTTGAGCCCTCGATAGTCAACACAAAGTCGCAGCGAGCCATCTGGTTTCTTGATAAACAGCACTGGGGAGCCAATCTGACTGGTTAAGGGTCGAATCTACTTCCTCTCAAGCGCAGTGTCCAGGTAGTCCCTAATCGCTGCGAGCTTATTATGCGATATATTGTAAATCGGACCACTTCTGGGTAGCTTGCCAGGTAGCAGGTCGATCGGGTGCTCGATCTGGTCGTGCGTGTTGAGACTATTAGATAGCTCTTCTAAGAAGACTTCTGATAGATCCTCAAGTTGTTCAGGCACGCCAGGGTCGTCTAGCTGCGTGGCACCACACCGCACAGCTTCATCGCAGTCATCCTCACTGCTTTCAGATAGAATCTGATATGAGAGTGTGATAAACGCTTATCCCAGGCCATGCGTAACTGCTGTATTGGCCAATGACGCAAACTACTCCACATCCACCATTGCGATATCTACTTGCTTCTTATCGCTTATAGGAAAATTGCGGTAGGTCCAGAACTGCTCACGCTAATGAATGTCTGGATCGACATCATAGATCCAAGGGAAACCGAGAATAAGGTCGTATCCTCGCATGTCCACAGCATACGCCTTCAAGGTTTGCTCTTGCTTTTTTCCTCGACTGTCCGCGAGGCCAAAGACCAGATCATGCTTCCTATACGAGGGTATTTGATGACCGTCGATGGCACGCACCATTGTTGGCGCGTGTTCAGGTTCAGGAATCTGCGTCTCTTTGATGAAAGATTGCGACACAAAGATTTCCTCGCCACCGGTGTCCACCAGGGCAGTCACCTTACGCTTCCCACTCGGCGTAGTAATTTCGCCTCTCAACAATAGAGAGCGAGGTCGCCGCTTGGTTGGTGGCGTGCCTAATGCTGCAGCGGTAAGCATCAGGCTTTGCCTTTTCCCTTGCCTGATCTATGATTGCGCGCTTCGTTGCCCGCAACGTAGTTTGGATATTCGGGAGAATTCTTGTAATGTCCCAGCTGCTCGCAATCGTAGCATCGTATCTCAGCAAGGGGCGTCTTAGGCTTGGTACGAGAGTCGTCACCTTCGGGTTTGGTCCGCGCAGGCTTTTGTCCTTGCGGCGCCGAAGAGGACGAACCCTTCTTTTGATCTTGTTGGCCGTTCGCATGCTGCACCTTAGGCTTCGCATGCTGTTGACCACTGCTCCCCTGATTGCTGTCTTGTCGCTAAAGCGAGTCTTGTCTAGAGTAGGGAGCTCTTTCGTTTTTCGTAGCCTTTGCTCTCTACCCTGATACTGTTGTAGTAGTGCAGCATAGGTGGTAGGTTGGATAGCCTCCTTCATGGCTTCCAGAGGAATTTTCTCTACCACTCTATCTCGCAGGGCTTCCATGCGTTCCAGATCGGTCACATAGCGGTCTCGCTGCGACCAGAGCATGGTGAGGTAGTCATTGAAGCTGGCTACCGACTGCGCGTCCCTCATGACCGCTTTGGCCAACTGGCGTCCCACGTCATGAGACTTGACGGCTGGGTTGCGAACTTGGTTCAAGCACCACCCTTTGTATTCCTCCCAGGTAGGTTCCCCGGTGTCGCGCAGTATCGCATCCCTGGTATTCCTCCAGGTCTGGTTCTTAGCATCCACCAAGAGGGCAGAAGACCAGCGAGTCTTCTCTTCGTCCGTGCGGAAATCGATGCGAGGCGCCGAGGCGATGAAATCGTCGCAGTCTTGAAGAAACATGACTGTCGAACTGTAGTTGTTGAGGTGCTGCGTGTCAGGCACCTTGATGACGCTTGCCTTCTTGCGGCTCGAATCACGGTAGTGATCATCGCTATGCTCGCGGCGATGGCCTCGCACATTCTGCATTTCGGTCAGCTTGAGTTTTTCGACGACTAGCTGCTTCTCAGCATCAAGCTCTAGGAGTCGATAGCGTTGGACTTGAGTCAAGCCTGCGAGGCGAGGGTCTTCGCCTGCAGGTGGAGGGTTGTCAGGTGCGACGCTCCGGCGGTCATTGTTTCCGCCGACAGTGTTGTCAGAATTCCCACCGATATCAGGATTGGCATTATGATCGCTTGGTTGCGTAGCAGGCGTATTCTGACGAGAGTCGCCTGCTGGGTTGGAAACGTCGCCAGTTGATCGTAACGGGACGTTTCTGTTTCGCAAGTCAATAGAACCGGCTCGCGAGTTACTTGCCATAGCTAAACTGGGCAGCTCTGTGCAAACGAAGTTATTAGAACTGTGAGGTAGCAAGGCCTCTTTCAATGGAACTGCGTAGCAGCTACTCCGTATGCAATCACGAGGTCTAGGTGCGTAGGTTGCAGCCTAACAAGCGACGCAAGCGAGCCTATCAGTTCGCTCCGAGTACTTTAGACTTGAAAATAAGAACAGATATTACGCTAAGAGGCTAGTAATTAATGAAATTATCGCAAGTTACGATTTCTAGTCTAAAATATATATTATTTCATTTTAAGCTAAATAGAAGTACGATTTAATTAGAGAAGATTATAAGAATAAATCTTAAATCTTAACTTTATTAATTTATTATATTTAATATTCTTAACGTAATATAATTAACGAGTAAAGGCCTATGAATTAAATTCATAATTTTTTTTTTGATCAGGGCTATCGAGTAAATTTAATGAGCGATCTTTGATGAGCGATCTTTGGTGAGCGATATTTGAGTACCTTGCCTTTTAATAATTGTAAGACCGAATTTCAAAATTCTTAAAGCATTGAAAAGCGCAAGTTGCGGGCTATAATTTTAAAAAAAATTCAAAATTTTAATAGAAAATAGTAAAGTTATTAAAGGGTTAAAAGTAGGAGGAGAGATTTTTGATGGTTGCGGACGCTAATTTGTTTACCCGCGGTGTCTAACCAAAAAGCGTAGACCTGACGAATTGATAATTGGCTGCACATACAAATTCAAGGTTTTCAAGCTCAGCCCTATCTTATTCTTTTATATATACTGAACAAGTAAAGGCCCATAAAAATTTTCTAAGTCAAATCGAATTTTAGCCCTAGCCCTAAGTCAAATCGAACTCTGATCGCTTGCTGTGCGTTTTTGACCTACATATAAGCACATATGTGCGGAGAGAGGCGCGCTAAGGCCTAATTAGGAAGGTGTATCGAGTGAAGGATTGATCCGTAATAATTGCCCACAAAAAACAGAGAAAGGCCATGTCCTTATGGCAAGAAGTATCGAAATACCGGAAAGAAATGGAGACAACATGCCAATTAGTGGTGTGAATCCCACATTATCTCCTGCCGCAGTGAAATCTTTCGAATAATGAAATAGCTGTCAGAGCAAGACATCGGACGGTTTCAATTCGTCCAAATATGTATCGTCCGATGTTCCTCCTGCAGAGGCCCAATTGGCTGTGATCGTCGCAGTAGATCCTCCTCTTGTGACGTTATTGCAGTGATGTACCATATTAATGCAGTGGGGATGACAGGCCAAGTTGCAGTGGTGTTCTCCGCTTGCTGAGTGATGATTTGATGTGGAACCGTGGAGAGCATATGACGTGGGATCTTGGAGAGCTGAGCCGTGTTCTTGACGATGGTGGCCTTGTTGCCGCTTGGTTTCTCCGCAGTGTTCTCCATAGTGTTCTCCGCAGTGTTCTCCATAGTGTTCTCCGCAGTGTTCTCCGCATTTGCCTGTTGTAGTTCCTCCTCTTACTCCTTAATGTAGTGGGGATGACAGGCTAAGTTGCAGTGGTGTTCTCCGCGTTGCTGAGTGATGATTTGATGTGGAACCGTGGAGAGCATATGACGTGGGATCTTGGAGAGCTGAGCCGTGTTCTTGGTGCTGGGGGCCTTGTTGCCGCTTGGTTTCTCCGCAGTGTTCTCCATAGTGTTCTCCGCAGTGTTCTCCGCATTTGCCTGTTGTAGTTCCTCCTCTTACTCCTTAATGCAGTGGGGATGACAGGCTAAGTTGCAGTGGTGTTCTCCGCTTGCTGAGTGATGATTTGATGTGGAACCGTGGAGAGCATATGACGTGGGATCTTGGAGAGCTGAGCCGTGTTCTTGGCGATGGTGGCCTTGTTGCCGCTTGGTTTCTCCGCAGTGTTCTCCGCATTTGCCTGTTGTAGTTCCTCCTCTTGCTCCTCCTCTTGTAGAGTATCAGACTGAGTGGCTAGCTGAGTGGCTGACTGAGTGGATGACTGATATGACGTGGGATCTTGGAGAGCTGAGCCGTGTTCTTGACGATGGTGGCCTTGTTGCCGCTTGGTTTCTCCGCAGTGTTCTCCGCATTTGCCTGTTGTAGTTCCTCCTCTTGCTCCTCCTAATGTAGGGGGATGGATCCCGGAGGCGTGACTGAAGTGATTAGTCACGATTTTTGAGTGGCTTCTTCTTGACGATGTTTAGGATCTAACACGCGTTGAGTGAGCTAAAAAGGTTAAAATAGGGTGATGAAGAACGGATTAGGGGAGGAAGACGCGTCTTGGGAGGTAGCATCGCTGGGTTGGAAGGCACCATCGCTGGCTTGAGAGGAGTATATAGGGGAGAACGATGGCTGTGAATCCGTTCAAGCTCTTTTTGAGGACCTTCTAACGCGTTTATGAGCAGTAATAGGTAGCTATTAGGCTCGCTTACGGCCTCGATTGCCAGCGGCCCAGCAGTAGCGGATTCGCCGAGGGGTGGCCTGGGGGCGTCAGTAAGGGGTTCAAAAGACGGGCGGAAGGGATACGTGCCTTAGATACTTAGCAACATTTGGGCGAGGGGTATCGAGGATATATTCATAATTGGTGGATTGGTAGAATTGTAGAAGAAATATGGTTACACAAACAGGTGGAAGGATTATTAACCGATCCCGGACGCGTTTGGTGTGACTACAATATTTGAATGTCTATTTAATCCACCAATAGTAGGCCAAACTTCATTATTTTTACAGCGTTAGAAAGCGCAAAGCGAGCTCTACAATTTACGAAATTATGAAGTAACAGCATCCGTAGGGAGCTGGTTATTTCAGAGTATAAAACTTCTGCACATAGATTTTTGATGAGTGAGGTGCGGGACGGCTAATTTATTTACCCGCGGTGTCTAACCAAAGAGCGTAGACCTGACCCTGAATTGATGATTGGCTGCACATACAAATTCAAGGTTTTCTAGTTCAGCCCTACCTTATTCTTTTATATATACTGATAATGAATTTATATATGCAGCCAATCATCAATTCGGGTTCGCTACGCTCTTTGGTTAGATCGGCTGAGTCATCGCGGGTAAATAAATTAGCGTCCGCAACCATCAAAATCTCGCCCTCCGCGCCTCGCTCATCAAAAATAGGTGTACGTTATTCACAATAGTAATAACTTTTTTGTTTTCTATTGAAATTTTGAAATTTTTGTTTTAAATTTTGAAGCGCTATTTGCGCTTTCCGAATTTTTAAGAATTCTAAAAATTTGTCTTATAATTATTAAAGCGCAAGGAATTCAAATATCGCTCATCAAAGTTCGCTCACTAAAGACCGCTCACCAAATTTACTCGATAGCCCTAATCAAAAAAATAATTATAAATTTAATTTATAGGCCTTTACTCGTATAAAAGAATAAGATAGAGCTAATTTAAAAAATCTTAAATTTGTATATACAGTCAATTATAAATTCGAGTTCGCTACGCTCTTTGATTAGACCTGCTAAGTCAGCCCGCTAGCCCTTCCGCGCCTTCTCATTAAAAAAATAGATATACGTTATTCACACATAGAATAACTTCTTTATTTTCTATTAAAATTTTAATTTTTTTTTTAAACTATAGAATAAAACTTGCGCTTTTAGATAAAAAAAGAATTCTTAAATTTAGTCTTATAATTATTAAAGCGCAAGGAATTCAAATATCGCTCACCAAAGTTCGCTCACCAAATTTGCCGGCAGCCCTGATAAAAAAATAGGTGTAAATTATTTAATTTTAGAATAACTTTTTTGTTTTCTATTAAAATTTCAAGATCTTTTTTTAAATTATAGTCTATAGCTTACGTTTTTCAAGAATAAAAAAATTACGAAATTTAGTCTTATAATTCCCTAAAGATATAGAATTCAAATATCGCTCATCAAAAATCGCTTATCAAAGATCGCTTACCAAATTTACTCGACAGCTCTAATTAAATAAAATAATTATGAATTTAATTTATAGGCCTTTACTCGTAGTTAATAATAGATTAAGCTTATAGAGTTATGGAGCTAATTATACGCTTTAAAATAATATAACGTAGACGAAATTTCATAAAGTATTTATAAATATATATTGAAAACTAAGATTTATGTAAATCATCGAACTTACGAGAAGAGCGCCTTCGATAAGAATTCTCGAAGAGCTTTCGTAGATATATAAGCTAGTATTAAGTAGTCTTTTAAGCGTATTTAAAAACGTCTAAAATATTTAATAATAACATCGAATATCTTTTATATTATATACTTAAATTCGTATTCTAATATAGAAATCTCTTTATAAAATTATTTAAGTTTAATAGTTATATCGTAAATAATCGTATTTAAATAATTTTAAAGCTGTATAAATCTTAGCTATATCTTCTAAACGTATTAATAACGTTTAACTACTTACGAAGAATTTTTATAGAAATAAAGAAGATACTTAGTCTTCGTTTAAGTAGAAGTATTAAGAGAAATAGATATAGCGATTAAGAGATTAAGAAGTATATTAGATAGGTTTCGCAAAGATTTTGAAGACCACATTTTGCCTACATGCGGTTAGTGCTCGCAAACAGTGAGGCCATACAAAAAACACGTATGCACAAGTAGATATGTAAATATATGATTGGGCATATCTAGACCGGGGCAGCTAACACTCTTCTGGGCATCCAATAGCCCAGAAAAGCCCCCCAGCGCTAGAAAAACTCCCAAAACAACCCAAGACGTCGTCCAAAGAGGGCGAAGATCTCGAGGATGACTCTGACGGTACCTACCGCAGCAAGCAGTAGGGACCGACAGCACTAGCGCGGACGGGCTGGAAGGTGCTGGTGCCGTAGTGAATGGTAGGTAGGCTGGGTGAGTGACGAAAAGGCGGTAGGAATCTGACTCCCTCAACACCAAGTTGCAGCCCTTCTGCGGAAGGACTGGCCTGAATAATAGCCCTCAACACCAAGTGACGTCAGCACCTCGCGGAGGTTGCTGATGACGGCTTTCCCAGCTGGAATAACGGCGCATCAGGTGGGGCTTCCCACCTGATGTACCAATGGCTACCAATGACTGACATCAGATGGGGCTTCCCACCTGGGCTAATTACCGAATCATACCCCGAAACTATGAATCCTTACCGAATCATACCCCTACACCAAAATTTGGGGTATGATTCGGTAAGGGGCAAATTACAAATTCATACCCCAAACTATGCGATTCCTTACAAATTCATACCCCATCTTACATTTTCATACCCCTCACCAAAAAAATGGGGTATGAATTTGTAAGTTGCCACTACTTGGGGTATGAAAATGTAAGTGCCATTTCTTGGGGTATGAAAATGTAAGATGCCACCAACTTGTAGATGTAGCCGTCCCTGTGCCCTGAAGTGTAAAGTGTACCAGAGGACGTAGTGGTGGTCAAAGACGACGGGCTTCTGTCACCTTAGTTAGTGATATGCCAAAGAGAGGTAGAGGACGGGGGTCTTGAACGATAGCGGTAGCTGCCTGGCAGATGGCGGTCGGTAGGCTCCACTGAGCGTCAGGTAGTGGTCGTCGACTCCGCTGTCGATGACGGTGGTGTGGTGTGGTGTTGTGGGGTGGGGTGCTTGCGTTTGGCCCTCGAGTTGGCCCACTCGGCTTCCGTCTGATGTCTTGGAGCTGTTAAAATTTTCATTAGATGCGGTCGGAGAGATTCCCTTACTTCTATGGTCCAACGGGCCAGATCGCGGATCCTCTCCTTGATGGTTCAAAGCCTCTGCAAAATTTCGAAAGTAGGCCCTTAGGTAGCAATTCCAGGCCACTATGGCAACTTACAAAATCATACCCTAGATGGCAACTTACATTTTCATACCCCTATTAATAGCATCTTACAAATTCATACCCCGTTGGGGTATGAAAATGTAAGATGGGGTATGAATTTGTAAGGATCGCATAGTTTGGGGTATGAAAATGTAATTCGCCCATTCGGTAAGGGTTAATTGCTTGGGGTATGATTCGGTAATTTACCACTTGTGCAGACTATCGGGACAAGACTTTGGAGTGTGAGACTGGGATAGGCCTGGGGGCATCCAATTTAGCCCACTGTTAGCAGCCTCACCTGGGGGCCCTATTAGTCAAATAGGGTGTCTGGCTGTCAAGCGCAGACACCCCCGATTAGGCTTTTTTTTGCGCTTGACAGCCAGACACCCCTATTTGAACCTAAATAGGTTCTCCGTCGGTGGGCTGCTGCTAACACCCACTTCGATCGTCTGATGTATTTAAACGCTAGGTCACCCATTAAATCGATATTTTTTTCGGTAGATATTTCCTCATGGAAGTAGGTCCGAATTTTCTCCTTGGCAATTTTTAGGGCTATAATTACTCATTCATACCCCGAAACTATGATTCGGTAATTTGCCATTCATGATAAAAATCGCAAAGGAGAAAATTCGCGACCTGGGCCATCCGACCATAGAAAAGAGGAAATATCTCCGACCGTATTCAATGGGTGACCTACCAGCTAAATACATCAGACGAAAGCCGAGTGGGTGTTAGCAGCAGCCCTCACGGGGGCCCTACGGGGGCCCTATTTAGGTTCAAATAGGGGTGTCTAACCGTCAAGCGCAGACACCCCTGGGACCAGGCTTTTTTGCGCTTGACAGCCAGACACCCCTATTTAGACCTAAATAGGGCCCTCCGTAGGGCCGTCGCAGGGGCTGCTGCTAACAGTGGGCTAAATTTGGCCCCCCAGCCTGTCTACACCCAGTCTGTGACTCTCACACACAGTCTTCACTCCCAATAGTCTACATAGCAAGTTTGGTAAATTACCGAATCATACCCCAAATTAGTTCTTACCGAATCATACTCCAAATTTTGATGTAGGGGTATGATTCAGTAATTAGGGGTATGATTCGGTAAGGATTTATAGTTTCGGGGTATGATTCGGTAATTAGCCCGCAATTTTTATTATGAATGGTAATTACCGAATCATACCCCATGTAATCGAGAAATTACTAAATCATACCCCAGGGGTATGATTTAGTAATTAGGGGTATGATTCGGTAAGGATTCATAGTTTCGGGGTATGAATTAGTAATTAGCCCCTTCCCACCTGATGTAAGGCTTTGACGCGCATGCGTCATCGCCCGATGCAATAGCCCAAATGGCTGGAATAGCTTGATAGTTGGACTGAGACATCTCCATGGCTGCGGTAGCCCAAATAGCTGGAATAGTTGAAACCTCCCCATGGTTGCGATAGCCCAAATAGCTGAAATAACTGAAATATCTCCATGGCTGCGGTAGCCCCGATAGCTGGAGTGACCGAGACATCCCCAGGGCTGCGATAGCTGAGATATCCCCTGTGGCTGCGATAGCCCAAATGGTTGGAATCAGGGCTGGCAACGGTGGAAATAGTTGGTTTTGGAGGGCAAACTGCACTAACTACTAGATTTGGAAATCGAAACTGCACCAACAGTTGAACGAAACAGTTCTACTATGTGGGTAGCAAAGGATGTAGAATCTATGGAAGCCTACGGCAGCAGGATATTTATCCCACCAGGCCGAGCTATACTACATATGGACTAGCTGCAAAAGCCTGCAAGGAAGTCACGCCTGTTAACTACTCCCACACAAACAAGACGGAGCCCCCGCGACTAACAAGCACATGAAGCTATACACTAACAAGGTAGCAAGCAAAGCCATAGCAAAACAAGCCCCTGAAAGATGCTACCTCTAGCAAAAACATGCATCATAAACCAAATAGCATCGTAGCAAGCGGCTGAGGAAGCCTTCTGCAAGCACTAATAGGACCGCTTTCGTAGCATAGCAAGCTAACCAACCCCCATGATAGGCCAGATCCAATGGTGTAGGGTAGTAACGGACTGCTGAGTGAGGTGTGTGAGCTGCTCTGGTACTGACGGAGCTGACTGTGGTATGACTGGCATAGGCTGCTCTGATAGCTGTAGGGGAGGCTGTTCTGGTAGCTGTAAAGTAGGCTTTGGTAGCTGTAGAGTAGGCTGCTCTGGTATGACAGGCTTCTCTGGTACGACAGGCTGCTCTGGTACTTGTGGAGTAGGCTGCTCTGGTACTTGTGGAGTAGGCTGCTGTGGTACTGATGGAGCTGACTGTGATATAACGGGCTGCTCTGGTAACTGTAGGATAGGCTGCTCTGGTAGCTCTGGAGCAGGCTGCTCTGGTACTGATGGAGCTGACTGTGGTATGACTGGCATAGGCTGCTCTGGTAGCTGTAGGGGAGGCTGCTTTGGTAGCTCTGGAGCAGGCTCTGGTAGCTGTGGAGTAAGCTCTGGAGCAGGCTGCTCTGGTACTGATGGAGCTGACTGTGTTACGAGGCTGCTCTAGTAGCTGTAATGTAGGCTGCTCTGATAGCTTTGGAGCAGGCTTAGCGGTAGGCTGCTCAGGTAAGGTAGGCTGCTCGATGTGATAGGCTGCACTGGTATGACAGGCTGCTCCGGTAGCTGTGGTGGCTGGTCTCGTACTCCGCTGTGGAACTCGATAAGGGACTCAAATCGTGTACAGAACAAGCTTGTAAAGCTGATGATAGTCTGCTGAGACGGAGCTAACTCGTTAAGAAGACGGATAGCGTTAGAATTCGTGTCGGCCCAGTTACCAGCGTCGTCCATAAGAAGTAAATCAAGCCATTCGAGGTACTGCTTTAATGTATACTCGTAGCCGGATATTATGGTGTGAAAGTGTTTTAGCCATTGAGTAGCGGATACTCCATTGCCGAAGAAGCAATCACTGCGAGTGAATTGAGGACCAGTCGACTTGTAGGCCATGCTTGCCATAGACTTAGCAAGATCTAATAGGAGACTGCCACTGAGATGGGCCAGCTTGACGAAGGTGAATAGCAATAATGGGAGAGGGGCTCTCCGAGCTCTCCACTGAGGTAAAATGAATGATTTGGAGAATAAATCACTAATCAGCCAATGAACGGCTGTGAAAGACTTCAAACGAACGAATAACAACAATGATCACTTTGCAAGGCCACGATTACCATCTGGGCAAGACCTCCAGTTGAACGAAACAGTTCTACTATGTGGGTAGCAAAGGATATAGAATTCTATGGAAGGCTACGGCAGCAGGGATATTTATCCCACCAGGCCAAGCTATACTACATATGGACTAGCTGCAAAAGCCTGCAAGGAAGTCACGCCTGTTAACTCCAACTACCATATATTGAAAACCAACTACCCCACTATCAGTGCACTGATAGTGGAGCAGTTATCCCTTCTATGCCCGGGAGGTCCACGCTAGTAGGGGTCAAATGTAGGGGTATGGATTGGGTCAGATCGACTTTGCCGCGCTCATGAGTAAGCAAAGTCTTAAGCCGCAGTGAACCGCGATCATTGGACAAATGATAATCCCTACATTTTTATTTTCACCCTTCCCTTTCCAATTTACAAAATACAATTAAAAAATAATAAAAAAAATCTTAATTATCGATTTAAAAATAAAAAACTTATATATAAATATTAAACCCTTATCACCCTTATCTTACCCTTATTCCACTTTTTTTAGTTTTGCCTTGGGCTCTTTTTTACTTTAAAACAGACTTTTTAAAAAGATTATTATAAACTACTCCACTATCAGTTGAACCAGTTGGTTTTACGGTCAGAACCGCATTAACTATCAACCGGTAGACCCCAAACTACACCATCAACTACGAGAAACTAACGGTTTCTTTACTGAGTGACCCAGTTAGTTCATCATTGCCAGCCCCGGTTGGAATAGCTGGGACATCTCCAAGGCGCGGTAGCCCAAATAGCTGGAATAGCTGAGACATCTCCATGGCTGCAGCACAAATAGCTGAAATATCCGCATGGCTGCAATAGCCCAAATAGCTAAAATGACTGAAATATACACATGGCTGCAATAGCTCAAATAGCTGAAATAGCTGAAATAACCACTACGGCAATGCAATACCGAATTAATTGATATATAAAGCTCTAGCTTTATATGGTGTTGGAGGTTTTTTTCACCAATAGAACCGTATTTTATATGCAAAACAGCACTGCTATCGCCGCTAGTTAGTAAGCTAAAAATTAGGAGAATAGATAGCGTCCTTAGCGAGTAGCAGCGGCCTTTTCACTGTATATAGATAAATAACAATGTTTTATTGAGACGTGTTATAGGCCACCTCCGCCTTTAGACGATAAAGAATAAAAAACGAATTAAATAATTAACTATCATATATCTTAATACGTATCAATAAAAAATCGTATCGAGTTGAAACAACTGTCATATTTTTAATACGTTTTATATATTAAAACCGTTGCGACACCGTTACGATACCGTTACGATACCGTTATAGAATCAAGAAACCGTTATAAAATCAAAAACTCTTTCGAAAAAAATAAAAATTAAGAACCCTATAATAATAGTTAGAGTTACTAAGAATAAGATATTAATAAAATTAATAAATTTCAAATAATAGATACATTTATTGATTCGAACTACGATACTATCTTACTCTATAAATTTTTATTACTCGATTAAATTTACTTAAGCTGAAGAATAGCTTATTTAAGTATATAAGATAATTTACGTAAATCTATTATTACTAAGATATCTTTACGAATATCGTTATTCTATTAATTTATAATTACTATCGTAATATATTAGATTTCTAGATTTATCGTATTAAAAATTAATACGCTTTTTTAGAGAAATTAATCTACTACCGTTCTACGAAAAGCACCACTAAAAATGTAAAACGTACTTAAAAATTTCTAGTATCACGGTACATTACTAAGTAATCGTTAAAAGGCGATAATTTTCACTAATTTAGTATAGGTACGGTTATCGCAACTCACCTCCTAAGGCCGTCACCTGCAACATCAGTGACGCTTGCCTCTTAAGGCCGTTACCTGCAACATCAGTGACGCTTGCCTCTTAAGGCCGTCACCTGCAACGTGACGCTTGCCTCCTAAGGCCGTCACCTGCAATATCAGTACGTGACGCTTGCCTCCTAAGGCCGTCACCGGCAACCTCCGCGAGGTGCTGACGTCACTTGGGTTGAGGGCCATTATTCAGGCCAGTCCTTCCGCAGAGGGGCTGCAACTTGGTGTTGAGGGAGTCAGATTCCTACCGCCTTTTCGTCACTCACCCAGCCTATCTACCATCCACTACGGCACCAGCACCTTCCAGCCCGTCCGCGCTAGTGCTGCCGGTCCCTACTGCTTGCTGCGGTAGGTACCGTCAGGAGTCCTCCTCGAGACCTTCACCCTCTTGGACGACGTCTTGGGTTTGGGAGTTTTTCTAGCGCTGGGGGGCCTTTTTCGGGGCTATTTGCATGTCCAAATGTCCAAAAAGGTCTCAGCTGCCCCAGTGTTGGATATGCCCAATCATATATCTACATATCTACTTGTGCATGCGTGATTTCTGTATGGCCTCACTGTTTGCGAACACTAATCGCAACAGTGGGACTGTGGGTTAGTGGGTCCATTATGAGGCCATAGCGTTGGTGGCTGTTTGATCAGCCGTCCTATTATTATGCGATATGCATGCGATATGCGATATGCGATATGCGATAGGCGGGAGACAGGTGGACATGGCGAGTACTATTTGTATGGCCACTGCACCTGTGGTGGGCTCTTCATTCGAATTGTTCTCTTTCAGAGCCATATCATTGTTCTCCCTCCCACCCACACCTATATAGCTTCGTCTTCACTCCAGGTCATGTCGCTCAGACATGGGAGTTTTTCTAGCGCTGGGGGGCCTTTTTCGGGGCTATTTGCATGTCCAAATGTCCAAAAAGGTCTCAGCTGCCCCAGTGTTGGATATGCCCAATCATATATCTACATATCTACTTGTGCATGCGTGATTTCTGTATGGCCTCACTGTTTGCGAACACTAAGCCTGAGTAGGAGTATCAAGGGAAACAACCATGGCGATTGGGGGGCTGAGGAACATGCCAAGACTTCAGTATAGCTTCATTTTTTCATTTGGGACCTATGCTAACGATAGCAGTGTTATTAAAGGATTTTGCGGAGAGATTTCTATGCTACAGTACGAATTTCGGTGTGTGGTGTGAAAGATCTCGGGTGCCAAGCATTCCAGATGTTTTTGAATACGCTAAAGGTATAACCCTACCGCCAAGCACCTATTCTACATGTAGCTAGCTGCAAATGCCTGCAAGGAAGTCACGCCTCATAACTAGATTCCTAAGCTCCTCGAATAAATGTTTGCCTTGTCCCCTGATATCGTCTCCACACTCTTGGCTTGCTGCTTTCTCGACAGTCCTTCAACCATTACGCTCTAGGGTTTGGGAGTACGTCGCAAGCATGGCTGCCTCCCATGACCCTCCATCCCGAACTTTAGAGGCTAACCACGCTGACGAGGGGGAATGGAGGCAAGCTACCGATCAAGACTGGCCCACACAGCTTGTCTCAAGCATTCACCATGGCAAGTACCTCATCTTAATAGCATCGACCGCTGTACAGCTGACCTTTCAGGCCCTTATATAGGCCCTCAAGGCCATGTCGACAGCAGGCTTCAGGCTGAAACCGATGAAGCTATTCTCGAGGGCATTGTTTCCGGAGACTCCAGTCAACCTTCTCCACAAGCTTTCCAACAACACTCTCAGCAAGCACCGATAAAGGTGCTCACTCGACCCGCCTCCTCAGGTAAAGACCCCGCTGCTGGCTTCTCCTTCACCAAAGCCAAGCCAGTTCAACAGTTTGACTTCCGAAGACCGAAGCAAACCCCCGTTAACCTCACTGAGACACGCTCCCACCAGTCGCCACCCCTATCAGACACCAGTCGAGCTGTTCAAAATGCCGTCAATACCGAAGCCCACCGAGTCTTCTCATGTAAGCATGATTATACTTCAGTGCCTTTTCCAAACTCACCGCCCACTATAACAACTCTCACGTCCGATCACAGTCTCGCCGAAACCGTGAAAGTCGTCCATCAACTATCATTTATCAAGCAGAATCGTTCGGCCAAGACCTCCAAAGATCCTTTGACCTCAGTGGCTGGTGCTCCCAAGGTTGTCAAATCCCGCCAGAGAAAGACCACGACAGGCCTAGCTACGGTTGGTCCTCCGTCACCCAAGGAAACCTATATAGAGGGTGATATCATAAAACTACTCATGTATCATCGATGGCAGGGGCAGCAAGAGCTCGAATATTTCAGGACTACAGAACACCAGATGGAGGCTGAAATCCAACAGCTACGAGACATGATCAATTATCTCTCTGGTCAATTACATGAGGTCGTACAACGTGAGACTTGGAAGACTGCCAAATTTTTAAGACTCAAGGCCAACAAGCCGATCTGGGAAAGCAAGATTAAGCAGCTGAATGACTATGTCAAAGGCGTCACAAATGATCACAAGCGGCTTGGAGAGGATGCGGATGACTTGCACAAAAAGCATGAAGATGTCTTCTTAGCCAGAAATGAACTACACTATACACTGGAGGATTCCCAGAAGTCAGCAGAGCAGGAGCGCATCAGATCCCAACAACTTGGGGACGAGGCCCGTCATAGAATCGAGAATCTTGCCCAGACTGTACAACATCAAAGTACCCAGCTTCGAGGCGACGAAAGTTTGCTTATGGCCGAACGAGAGAGAAGCAACCGCCTGGAAGACCAGATTTCCAGGATCACTGCCAGTCATGGGCGATTATTGGAAATTTTCACCAGCCATCGCGATACTATCACTAGCAAAATCGACGATCTGTTGCACCAGGCCCAGTCTATCGTCCCGCCCAACAAAAATTCAGAGTCAGAGTCCCATGGCCAGGTTGGGCCAATGCTAGAGCAATGCTTCACA